GTTTGTAAGTAAGTAGTTTTTGATTGCTAGAAAAATCCAAGAAACTATTATAAAACTTTGACAATACAAAAAGCTCAACTTTTTTGGATATTTTTCATACATTTTTGAGTGTTTTCTTTTTCTCCGTTCCTTGGCATTTGTTTTCTAAGTTTTTCGTCTAAAAACTGTGTTATATGCTATCAAATTGGCATTAGACAAAGAGGTGGGCTAGCAGAAACACATGAGGAATCTTCTGAAGACGCAGGCTAGCATAGGTTCCTTAGAGGTTTTATGATCGGGCATGCTAGGACGGGCATGGAGAAATTCCACGAAAAGGCAAGCTAGCAGTGATTCTTTTCGCTTTTTAGTAGTAGTTTTTACAAAGATACAAAGTGGAAAAAAATTTATCAGGTTGGAAAGAAAGTAATGGCACAAAATCTTTAAACCGCTGTAAAAACCCGCAGGAACGTCCGATTTGAAAGTTTGATATCTGGTTTGGTAGATCTTCGGATGCTCTATCACGAAACGACCCTCAAAACATCCAAAAACTAATATACGTGAAAATACAGGCCTCAGAAGTTTCGCAGAAAATTAGGTGAAGGCTGCCAAGCGAGATATCTCTGCATACAGGCATTTGCATACGATACTTTTAACACCAATCGATAGCCCTCGAGGAGTAGATATCGATAGATGTTGAGATCATCAAAATCGGACACTGTATGGCCGAGATATGGGCCTTCCAAAATCAATGCATTTTCTGGATTTTGGTTCGGGAGCTGAAGCAAACGCAGCAGTTTTTGGAAAATGTATGGGGTTTCGAGAAAAGTTCTAACAGGTGGACCAAAATTCTGGGGGCCATATCTCGGTCATCTAATGTCCGATTTTGATGATCTCAACATCTATCGATATCTACTCCTCGAGGGCTATCGATTGGTGTTAAAAGTATCGTATGCAAATGCCTGTATGCAAAGATATCTCGCTTAGAAGCTTTCACCTAATTTTCCGTGAAACTTCTGAGGCCTGTATCTTCGCGTCCGTCAGTTTCTGTGCGTTTTGAGGGTCGTCTCGTGATAGAGCATCCGAAGATCTACCAAACCATATATCAAACTTTCAAATCGGGCATTCCTGCGGGTTTTTACAGCGGTTTAAAGAATTTGTGCCATTACTTTCTTTCCAACCTGATACAAAGCTTTAGAAAGGTTTTCAATTTTTTTAAAGCTTTGTAAGAAATAACTACAGATGTAAGAAGCTTTCAGGTCTCAATTTTCGGGCTCTGGGCCAATGTGAAGGCGTCCCACATGGTGCTCACCCTCCCACAATTCCGCAACAATTTTGGGGCCTTATGCTTGTCCCAAAACGTCGCCAATATATTCGTGCTTATTTTATTCGCATGCTGGTGCGCGCCAGTCCAATTTTTGTGAGTTGAAGAGTTGCTTTGAAGCTTCGCCTAGCTGGCTAGAACTGGTCCTTTAAAGTTTAAACTAATGTAGAGCCGGAAAGAACCAAATTTCAGTTTCTCCGGCGATCTGGCGGCCGGGTTTTTCGGGAAGCTGATGGGCCAATTAAATCAAATATTCTGGCATAGTCTATTATATTCTCATGTCGTCATGTCGCTCAATCGATTCTCTGCCATCGGTAGGGTTTACTGTAATTACCATCACCTCAAGTGACTTTGTGGTTAACTTATATAGTCCCAAAAAATCATCTCTCCTGAGTGATCCGGAAGCAGCTCTGAACTGGGCGGATTTTGCACTATTTTCAAGCTCTCGAAAAGGCGATAAAATAAGCATTTTTATCGTGGTTTTTCATTCTGGATTCTAAATTTCGGGGTTTTTATTGCAATATCCGCATGAATTGATTTATTGAAGGCTGTTTTTTTAAGAAAACCTTTTTACCGATACGATATCTCTTAATGCCAACCCACAAAAACTGCAGCTTTTATGCAAAATCAGCATGTTAATTGCTTGCCAACGCAAACTGGACAACGCTGATTTTGCTGCTTTTTTATGAAATCGTTGATTATCGAGCCGGGGGAAAAAAAGAATTGTGAAACGAAAAGCGCTTGTTTTCTCGCCTTTCCGAGGGTACCGCAACACTTGCGCCGCGGACACTTGCGCCGCGACACATGCGCCGGCGACACTTGCGCCGCGATACCGAGTTTCAGCTACTTGAAGATGATATTTTTCGCGCGGAGTATTCTGGTTAAAGAAACGATAGAAAGATGTTTTTGCGCTAGGAGTCACTCGATTTGGAGGGAAGGTAATTGCTACTTCTTCCGCTCTGCGACTAGAAAAAGGCTTCGTGCCACCCGGGGCCTAGTCGCTTCGGATGGGTGCGAGCTCGTACTCGGTTTCGAGACCGAGGCGCCCGAGGCGCGCGTAGCGGCCAGGCGCACCGATTTCGAAAGAGTGGAGCGGCAGCCCATCCGAAGCGACGGCCCACCTTGCCTGACGCCTTTAGGAACGCTCCGAATTGGCGTTACTCACTTTCTGTCAGCTTTTAATGCAAAATACAGTAATTACATACAACATTCGCGCGCAATAGCAAATTCACTACAGTTTAAATCAATATACGATCCGCGGCGAGTGTCGGGCGCAAGTGTCGCCGGCGCAAATGTCGCGGCGCAAGTGTCGCGACGCAAGTGTCGCGACGCAAGTGTCGCGGCGCAAGTGTCGCGGCGCAAGTGTCGGTGAGCTTTTCCGAGAGCTTTCGAATGCTGTAAAAATCATTCCGATCCGACCTCTCTCGGGACCGCTGGATGCGGGTCGATTTTTTTTTGGGTCACCCTGTATACTATTCAATGCCATTGATTTTAGTATTCCCCGGATGGAGCAACCGGTTGCACGCTCGGGGCAGCACCTATCTGTTGATCGGCACCTCATGGGCAATTGCCGCCGTTTCGAATATACCGTATTTCTTCAGTGAGTGAAATGGACGGAAACGGCCAGCAAAAACCGCGTAAACGTACGGTACTGGACCGCTAGCGGGTGGATTTTGTAGGGCGGTAATAAGTTTTGTTTTTCTGCTTACCCGTTGATGCTGATGTTTTTAGCAGCTTTTTATTGCTCAAAAAAAAATAAAAATCCTTTGAACAGGATGGAAATTCAACATTTTTTTACCCTTTTTGGTCACTTTTCATGAATTTTTGACGAAAACGTCAAAGACTTTCGCAATTTTCCATATTTTGTACGAGCTTTTGAATTTTAAAAACTCGCGCAGGCGTTACGTTCCTATACATGGCCATGAAACTGACACGCGTCAGTTGGCTGGCCGCGTGGTCGTCGCGAGACCCGATCACTCGGATAGTCGATTCGCGCACTGCCTGGTCTCCATGATCCCAAAATTCCAGGAGACTCCTGCTACATGATCTACGTCCCACAAAAATACGCGTGGCAATTCTCAGATAATTTCTGTGGGCATGTCATTGGTGAGTTGCTGGGAAAATGCCCTAGCCGATCGGTTAAAGGAACACATACCAAACTTTAGTGAGAAAAATGTTTGTTCTCAACAATGTAAAAAGTATCAGAAAATTAAAGTATAGTATAGCGGAAGTACTCACGTCACGAAAAGCTTCTATCAATGTAAATCGGAATTCTTCCGGAATATCAGGGGGCGGGGGGGGGCGCAACCAACTTTTGTCAGGATCCGATTTTCTTATTCTTATTTTTCTTATTCTTGGAATATAATTAAATTTTGCAGATCTGAAAGCGATAGTAAATAGTAATAGATGTTTCAATCGAACGGCCAATAATTTTAAAAAAATGGATAACATGATCTTCAGGAATCTATATGGACTGTTACGCGGCAATGTTGGTTGTGATTGTCTTAATTCTGTTGGATATATATACAATTTTGCATTTGAAGCGCTTGCATAAGGTAATTCGTGTATCGTCGCTTATTACTAGCAGTCAAAAATGCTTCAAAGCACCCCGTAAACTCGAGAATCAACCACTTCCGTTGGTTAGGTCTCGATACCGAGGCGACACACCCAGGAACGCAATCGCTTTTGGTTGTCCGAGTTTAGGCAAAAATCCACGTGTGTTTAGGCACTAGAGTAGCTGGCGCGGGTTAGAGTGCAGTTTACCCTCCCCCCCCCTGCCCAGCACAGCTCCTCAGCCATACGTCCTATTAATGCGCCGAGTATCTCAAAATGTTCGCCGTGGTCGAAAACCTCTAAACAAGTCGTTTACTTGCGCGAAAAATTATTAAAAAAAATTTTATAACAATTATAAGTCTGGGTTTTCTTTAGTTAATTTTTGCTGTTCCAAAGTGAGTTTTCGTATCTCGGCTATCTTTAGTCGTACAGAGCTGTCAATGCTACCAAAATGTAGCTCTTGCTCTGTAGAATCCGCCTGCAGTACGCTTGAGTCGAAAAAAATAGAAAAATTTTCCTAACAATTTTTGCCGTAAGGAAACAACTTTTTAGAGGTTTTCAACCACGGCGAACATTTTGAGATACTCGGCGCATTAATAGGACGCATGGCTGAGGAGCTGGGCTGGGGGGGAGGGTAAATTGCACTTAAGCCGCTGGCGAGAACTAGGGGCCGGTAGGGTTCGATTCTCGCACAGTTTCTTTCCTTTAACCGCCAGAAATCAGGGTGTCATCAAGAGCACGTCAAGCGCCGAATTGAGAAGGAGAAGGGGTCTCGAGATACGGTTTTTCATGCAGGTGGGAGTGTAGCTGCTGTACAGGGTGTTCGAAAAGTTCTGGCAAAGCGATCTAGGCAGAATTTCAGCAATTCCCTGGGCGTTGCCAAGGTATTGCCGATATTTTACTAACTATTACTTAACAAATGCGCGGAAAAATTTGGGGATTTAGCCAACGGAATTTTAAACAATTTCAAATGACTTTATCAAGTCCTTGAAAGAGATTTTGACGGGGTTCCAAATAAATCACGCGATTAAAAGAGCAAGTTATTGTGACTAATTTATGCAGAGGCATTGGTTTACGTTCCCCACCATCTTGATTTGATGGCAAAACCGTTATGCTGCTAGAAAGTTCGAGCCAACGTTCCGGCTGGCCCTGATGCGTGTCGGGGTCAGCTTGTGTCGAAGCGATTTTGGCCTCTGGTAAACTAACGAGATGGTTTTCTCAACCCTAGTTTTTGAGGAATTGTTTTATGCTCTATTACGAATAACGTGTAAAAATTTCGTGAATATCCAAGGCTTCTCCGAGTTTCCAGGCCCCAGAACATTTTGCCAGAACTTTTCGAACACCCTGTAACTTTTGTCATTAACGGTTTTTGGAGTTTCTAGAGAGTACTTATTACGTACCAGATGGTTACAGTCGCTTCGCGACTGCAACCATCTGGCCTTCGGGCTACCCTACATGTCCCACTCCACCACATCCTTTTCCACCTCCATCAATACCCCCGATAGCCGAAATCCCGTTCAAAAACTACCTAAATACCTTCCTGATGGCTTTAGATACCCCCCATGGCTGAAATCCCCTTCAAAAACTACCTAAATACCTTCCCGATAGCTTCAGATACCCCCCATGGCTGAAATCCCCTTCAAAAACTACCTAAATACCTTCCCGATAGCTGAGATACCCCCCATGGCTGAAATCCCCTTCAAAACTACCTAAATACCTTCCTGATGGCTTTAGATACCCCCATGGCTGAAATCCCCTTCAAAAACTACCTAAATACCTTCCCGATAGCTCAGATACCCCCATGGCTGAAATCCCTTCAAAAACTACCTAAATACCTTCCCGATAGCTTCAGATACCCCCCATGGCTGAAATCCCTTCAAAACTACCTAAATACCTTCCCGATAGCTTCAGATACCCCCCATGGCTGAAATCCCCTTCAAAAACTACCTAAATACCTTCCCGATAGCTTCAGATACCCCCCATGGCTGAAATCCCCTTCAAAAACTACCTAAATACCTTCCCGATGGCTTCAGATCCCCCCATGGCTGAAATCCCTTCAAAAACTACCTAAATACCTTCCTGATGGCTTCAGATACCCCCATGGCTGAAATCCTTCAAAAACTACCTAAATACCTTCCGATAGCTTCAGATACCCCCATGGCTGAAATCCCTTCAAAAACTACCTAAATACCTTCCCGATGGCTTCAGATACCCCCCATGGCTGAAATCCCTTTCAAAAACTACCTAAATACCTTCCCGATAGCTTAGATACCCCCCCATGGCTGAAATCCCCTTCCAAAAACTACCTAAATACCTTCCTGATGGCTTTAGATACCCCCATGGCTGAAATCCCCTTCAAAAACTACCTAAATACCTTCCCGATAGCTTCAGATACCCCCCATGGCTGAAATCCCCTTCAAAAACTACCTAAATACCTTCCCGATAGCTTCAGATACCCCCCATGGCTGAAATCCCCTTCAAAAACTACCTAAATACCTTCCCGATAGCTACAGATACCCCCCATGGCTGAAATCCCTTCAAAAACTACCTAAATACCTTCCCGATAGCTCAGATACCCCCATGGCTGAAATCCCCTTCAAAAACTACCTAAATACCTTCCCGATAGCTTCAGATACCCCCCATGGCTGAAATCCCCTTCAGAAACTACCTAAATACCTTCCCGATGGTTTAAGATACCTCCCCTAGCCGAAATCCCTTAAAAACAAAATAACGACCGACCGGATGGAATGAGAGAAAAAAAGAAATGAAATCCCCCGTGAAAATTTTCATCCGCGAATCGCGCGCGACCTGGCTCACTATGTCCAAAATCACCCCAACCTCCGTCCCCCACCCCTTTTACTAAGGAAAAAACTTTCAAAGTTAATTTTAATAATTTAAACTAAAACTTTTTCATAATTTTTTTATCAGTTTGGGGGTTTCTGACGGCGCTCTATCCGAATCCGAAGAGAGCTAAGCTCTAGCTCTTTTCCCCTTCGAGTTGAATTCGGCTTCAGACAGACGGACAGACGCGTCAAGAAAATTATTATAGTTGATTTCAGAGCTGCGTCCAAGTTGTAATACTTACCTACTTCTTCGTCAGCTCGTACTTCATCGCGGCCTTTCTCCAGTCGAAACTTGCGCTATTTTTCACGATCACATTCTGTTGGCAGGCGGTGCACGCGCTTGACGGGTGGGTTTTGCAATTTAAAGGGGGCTTACATGGCAAAGCGATGGACTTTGTTGGGTATGGATGTTGCTAGACAATGCATATTGCCTGTCTTACACGTGAAGTGCGAGGAGTGCGAGGTGCATGGAGCGCGAGATGCAAGGAGCCCGAGGAGCGCGAGGCGCCAGGGGTATCCACAGCCTACAAATTCATAGTATTGTCATGCCTGTCCCTTTAGACTGAGAGTGAAATAGTGTGGTGCGACAGTAATCCGATCGCAAAAAAAAAGATTTTTTTGGCTTTCAGGTGTGTCCTTTGGTATTCCACTGGAAGACGAAGCCTCAGATAACAACTGTTCGAGCACAGGCGAGCCCTATAGCGTTAAATGGGCTACGTACAAGTACGACGACATCGGATAAATTATGAACTACGAAAACCAACGTACAAATCGCAAGCAGAGAGACCGAGAGAGACAGAGAAAGAGAGAGAGAGAGAGAGAGAGAGAGGGAGAGAGAGAGAGTGGCAGAGGGAGACATAGGCAGACAGAGAGAGAGTGAGGAGGGAGAGAGAGAGAGAGAGAGAGAGAGAGAGAGAGAGAGAGAGGGATAGAGAGCGCGAGAGATAGAGAAGGAGAAGGAGAGAGAGGGAGTGAGAGTGAGTGAGAGAGAGAGAAAGCGAGAGAGAGGAGAGAGAGAGAGCGTTGTTAAGCGCTAAAACGCTGATGCCTACAGTATAAACGATAAAAACCCCACCATGTTATTCAGAACAAACTGTTTTCTCGAACCCGTCTAGACCTAATTTCCAAGAATCATCACAATTCCACAGAAATCTCTACAAGCCGCCTACTTTTCGAGATTCCATTACCATCAAAAATTAACGGAACACCGGGGTGTTACGGGGCGTAAATTGGATCGGCGCGGACTCGACAGCACCGTCCACTAGGTGGCCAACAAACGTCGTGGACCCCGTGGGGATTTCTATCACCACTTTTGCTAATTGAGCAGACAAACGGAATGCTGAATTTTGGCTTGATACCTACTTTTAAGAACTTTAAAGATCAAACAACAAATTTGAGCTATGTTAGAAGTCTTCAATGTAGAAATCATTGTAACTTTGTACTTGTTGTGTTTCGACTAGGCTCGTGGATTCTTCTAACACCAGTTTCCTCGAATTTTTATGTAATCGTTTTACGGTCGGTCAAACTACGGGAGGAGACCAAAACAGAATCTAGGTTTTTGTTTGTTTAAATTCTTTTATCTTTTTTTTCCTTAAAACCGAAGAGCCCAGTCATCCAAACCATTTGGCTTTCGATTGCTAACAAGTCTAAATGTTTCGGTTCTGGACTGTTAGCGGGGCGGGGGAGGGGCTTAGCCGGGGAACACATTTTTCCCTGTTGTTCGCTACGGCCCTAAAACATAATATAAATTTTTATAACATTTTAGATAGTTTTTAGACATGAACTATAGAAAAATCCTAAAATTTTTTGCAAATTTGTGGTTTTTTTTGAGCAAATATGCATTAAAATCAATAAAAAAGGGGCAGAATTTTCGAACTTTCAAAATTAAAAAATTTCTAATTTTCTAGCAACCAAAAATTATGGAAAACACGATAAAAGTACATAATAGATCATCAATAAGTCTTAAAAATCCCCCCCCTCCCCCCCCCCCGGTAACGGCCCAATGTTTCCAAAAAGTTTGATTTTTTGTGAACTATTTCTATCAAAAACGGTGTCAAATTTTCTAAAAAAATAGCGTGAGATGATGTAATGTATCCAGTATTTCACAGGAATGTCCGAAGAAACCACGACCGAAGCTTTCAACGAGGATCTGGTGACGATCGCCAGCAGCGAGTTGGCAGCCATTATTATAGTCATGGTAATTCTTCGAACAATTACTCTTTTTACCACCCTATTTTTTTGCTTTGCCAATTGCTTTTGTTTTTGCTCTCGACGCTACTTTTCCAAAATTCTCATATTCGAAAAATCACGTTACCGAAATTAATCTTAGAACCATTGGTTTTTGAAAATATGTTGTCACCTACTAGAAGCATGTTACCCATTAATTTCCCGCTTTTCAGGTCTCAATCTTCGGGCTTTTGGCGAATTTCCTCTCCATTCACCTCGTGCTCACCTACCCACATCTCAGGAACAGTTTTGGAGCGCTTTGCGTTTCGCAGAGCGTCGCCAACTCAGGGCTGTTGATAATCTTCGCCGGTTGGTGCGCGCCGATGCAGTGGATGTACGTGAAAATTCAGTTTACGGCCTTTTAAATGGGGGCAGGAAATCGCGAAAACCGCGTTTTTTGCCTTAGCATTTCCGGTTGGCAACTTGCCAGTTGTAAATCGGCCTTGATCTACGTGGGCCTTGCTTATCCCTTTAGCGATTACTTTTTTCAGGAGCGACGACGAGATGTCCACGGGACTCTGGGGCAAGATTATGGGTCAATTGAACACGCTGTTTTGGGCCAATTCCGTTTATTCTCATTTAGTTGTATCGCTCAATCGACTATTTTCGATCAGTAAGTTGAGAGAGCGAGCGAGAGAGAGAAAGAGAGAGAGAGAGAGAGAGAGAGAGAGAGAGAGAGAGAGAGAGAGAGTGAGAAAGAGCGAGCGAGAGAGAGCAAGGGAGAGAGATAGAGGGCAAGAGAGAGAGAGAGAGAGAGAGAGAGAGAGAGAGAGAGAGAGAGAGAGAGAGAGAGCGAGAGCGAGGGAGAAGATAGAGAGAGAGAGAGAGAGAGAGAGAGAGAGAGAGAGTGATTGAGAGAGAAAGAGCGAGAGAGCGAGCGAGCGAGAGAGAGAGAGAGCGAGCGAGAGAGAGAGAGAGCGAGAGAGAGAGATGGAGAGAGATAAGGCTATAACCCGTTACTTTTCAGCTTTCCCCACAAGACGCCTAAAATTCGCCGGCTCAAAAGGTACCTATTTTCTCGTCAGCTGCTCATGGACGATTGCCGCCATCCTGAACTTGCCATATTTCTACCGTAAGTCGCGTTTTTGCGTGTCGTGTATCTGCCTAGGCCTAGTCGATGGAAGGGGGTCGTTTAGCGAGCTTGTGAACGTCTTCAAAACGCGATTTCATCGTAAAAATTTGACCTTTTCAGGAGACGAATGTTATATCGTGTACACGCCGTCAACCTTTACGTGGAATTACTCGCAGAGCACCTGCGGAACGATTATTGGTATGTAATTTTTGGGGCCCTTGGATATAATTGGATTTTTTGAGGGTTGTGGATCTTTGAAGGTGGTTGAAAACAGAAAAATTCGAATGAGTAAACATGCAAAATTTTGGAATTTACAAAAATGTTAAACGAATTTTTATAGCTTGTTAGCAATCAAAAACTGCTAGAAACGTTATAGAGATAACATAAAAAGCGCTAGGAATTTTTGCCAAGTAAGCATACCCCAGATAGCTCCCCCCGCTAATAGAACAGAACCAAATCCTGGAAAAGAAAATGGAAAAAATATCTTTGAGGCTCAAAGCCCCTTTAACCAATTACGCTATTTTATTCCCGGCATCAGAGTCTCGAAATCACCGAAATCCTTGAAAAAAAACTTTTAAATTCCAGTTAAAACGAGGAGAAAATTAAAATGGAAGTTGAAAATTTTAAAGGCTCAAGTAAGCCAAACCGCTAAAACGATTACGCGCTCAAATCCATGCAGGACCAGTTTAAAAAATCCCATTTATGCCAGGAATTTAAAAAAACAATTACGATCTGGAATTCTTGCAGGCACCTACCTCGACTTCTACCTCGGTATGGCCGTCTTCGGCATTATCGCTATTTTTGACGTGTATACGATATTTCAACTACGGGTAACGCGAAAGGTGCGTTAAAACCTTCCCCTGAATTTCTCAGGATGCTGTCTGAAATTGCCAAAAATTCAGAACATTTCTGGTGCGGGCGGGCGCGAGGTCCTACTCAAACGACGGGCGATGGAAATTCGGTTTTTTGCTCAAGTAAGCCCTTAAACTAATTATAAAAGCTCTTGGCAATGTTCAGAGCTGCACCCAGCTGCTCATCTTTGCATACATTTTTGCGAGTTTCTACTATGTTTCGACGTTTATGACGACGAAATGGCAACTCTTTTTCACCGTTACGTTCTCTTGGCAGGCCTGCCACTCTTTAGATGGGTGAGTTAAAAAGAAAAATTATACAAAAAAATTATATTGGTTTCGCACTAGCTCTCGCTCTCTCTCGCTCTCTCTCTCTCTCTCTCTATCTATCTCTCTCACTCTACCACAAAAATATACAAAACAATAATTTACTGCGCCCAGTGGGGGCCGCGGTGCGGGGGCCCGACCCTTCTTGAGCCCTCTCTCCCCTCCTCTCCAGCTCTTGGGCGTGGCCTAGTGACGCAGAGGAATGGGCGCCAGGCGCAGGACGCGGGTTCGACCCCCGAGCGATGATTCACTTGTATAGTTCAACTGAAGACACATGTTGATCAATTTTCGCTGAGCTCATCTTTTGCCGTGTTTTTACTCCTGTAGCATCCAAATTCTCGCTAACGGTTGAAAAGCTTTGTGAAATGTTTTTACAGTTTAAAAACCCCAAAAAAACGGCTAGTTTTGCTAAATTTTCCTCTATTTCAGCTGCGTCTTGCTGATTTTCCACTGGCGACGTCAGCCTCAGCCCTCCGTCTCGCGGCAAACGATGGTTCGAGTAGGTAATCAAATTGTTAAATCAAAACTAGAATAAAGACGTATTTGGAAATTGGAAAATATAGTTTCTAACGGCCTAACGAACCCAAATATAGCAATTTAATGTCCGTTTTTCAGCTAGCACATTCAGCCATAACAGCCCAGCAGGTCGGTTTAAGATTTTGAGCGTACTGTGGTTAGTGAATTTCGTTCTTTCACATTATCGGGGGGAATCAACTTATTGCTAAGGATCCTATTTTTCTAATAAAAATAGAAACCGAGTTTCCAGGCTGTTTTTACTACTCCTAAACGTTAAAACCGGACAAATTTTGTTTTAAAATGCAAAAAATGCCGTTTTCGACCATCTAAAACTTTTTCTGGTTTTTTGCACTTAAAACCTAGCTAAATTTCACTAAAACGCTTATAAAACACTTACTCGTTGAAATTTCTGGAATTATAGAAAAAGGTTTGTCCCCCCGATAATGCCAATGAACCAATAACCGTTCGGCCTAATATTGTGTTGAAAACATTCCATTTTAGAGCACCACTCATAGCGTCGTCCCGTCGAGCTGGAGTCGGACTTATTGAGACCTAGGCCGAAAAACATCGAAAAACCCCAAAATTTGGGTTTTTGGAGCCACAATAAATGTTTAATTGAGATTTGTAAAGTGTTTTCACACAGGAATTTGAAAATCATTATACAGACACGTCTTTTTTATGTAAAAAGGTTTTTTTTCTTGACGAAACGCTAAGGTGAAGCTCCTTGTGCGTAGTGATGATTCCATCGGATCGAAAGGCGTCTCACAATCATCCAGTCCTGCCAGCCGACTCGTATTGCCACGCCCCGGGCTCTAGCCGCGAAAAAAAGCCGCTGACCAGCTGTCTGGCCGAAAACAAGATTTGTCGCTTTTTCGGTGCGGGTGTTCCCTCAATAAACTTACAGGGTGGCCCGAAAGAGTGGTGACCGCAGCTTGCACACAGAATTTCTCTGTTCCCTTATGGGTTTGGGCAAGGCGGGGTTATGGCTTCTGTTTCCTATAGATGTTGGCTAAATTTGAGCATACGCTCAGCGCACAACGCAGTCTAGCTTTTACATTAGGAATTTAATTCCATAATTCAAAGTCATGGATTTTTTTGAAATCGACAAAATCTAAAATAAATTCCTGTGGATGAAAATACTTAACGATGCCTTTTCCATCTATTTAACGAGCGTGCCTGACATTTCCGGTGAAGCTCGTGGTGCAGCTATCGCTCAGAACCCTCCAACTTGGTCAAGTGACTGAGGCCCGTTATTAAGGGTTTTGACCAAACCGTTTTTTGCTCGCCAAAAGAGCCATCCTGCAGCCCCAACCCGAATCCGCAGAATTTTTTTGTGTAGCTGGTCTGAAAGGCCAAAGTGTTGGCTACTCCCCATTCAATTTTGGGTTCGCTCGCGAAAGTCTTCGTCGAGTTATGAGCCAAATTCGGGCTGATTGTCTGCGTGCCAGCACCTCCGTTTTCCATCCGCTTCCTCGCCAGTTTTTCCGAGTTTGAGGCAAACAAATAAAAAAGTCGTTATACCATGTGGAAGATAATTGTTTAAGGAATATAATGTGCTAAAATGAGCTTTCCTCGATCTATAGTTTTTCAGAAAATCGAAAAAGTTTCGGTCACCACTCTTTCGGGCCACCCTGTATTTACCTCGATCTCGAATTACTCCACGTTCTATCGTTTTGATGCTGGGCTCTCGGTTATATCAAAAACGTTTTGAAAGACACTTTTACTGATTTTTTGAAGACGTGGTAGCCTTCTTTCCCTGCGTTTTTTGAACCCCCATGAATCAGCCATTGGCCAGTCAAGCAATTCTTGAACTTCCGGCACTTCCGGCATGACGCATCCGCAAAATCAGAGAGATAGCGACGGAAGTTGCTTTATTAATCTTGCCGCTACCCAAAAAGGTCTATTGCAGAGACGCGCTACCGAACCCCGGAAAACTTTCCATGGATCCACTTTTCCTTGCCAAATGTTTTTTTAAAGTCTAGAAATGCCTAGCAAATTCATATGAAGCATTTTAATAACGTTTCAAAAAATATAAGTATATAGCAACTAGAAAAGCTGCCAAAAAAAAAGTTTTTAAAACGTTGCAAAAGCCGACGTTTTGGCCAAAACCAATATTTTTATATTTTTTTATTAAAATTCGTAGATTTTTATTTTGAGGAATAGTAAAAACAATGTAGATGCACTTGCGCTATTCATATTTAGAAAAATTGGGTCCTAAGACAAGAAATTGGCAGCCCCCTTCCCCCGATAATGCGAAAGAACCTGAGGTCGGATTTTTTGGTCTATCAAAAACGTTTTAAAAGATACTTTTCTAAATCGTGATAATGCGAACGAACCAATCATCCCTAAATCATCTTTGATCTCATGATGTTCAGCCTTGTCTCCCCGAAAAACTCGGCGGCGGGAGAGTTTATCGGTCAGCTGCCCCAGGCCAATTGTTTATATTAGTCACATGGCACATCTGGACACACCGCCCCCGGCTTCTCAATGTCAATTTCCCCGCTCTGTCTGACCTTCCTTATCAACGTATTGTACAAATACCACTTGGCGATGCACTAATGGGTGCAAAAATGACAGCTATTTTGCGCAAGGACGCTTGGCGAATGCCTACTTTTCTATTGCCGATTTCCGTGATGTTTCTGTTAATCTCCCCATTTCCTTGCCTCCTTAGATCCGATACTTCAGATGTTCCGAATTTTACTAACCACACTCATGGCATTGGTATGCTTCACCGGTTCTTCACCACCGCCGATGGTCGGCGCGCTATGGAACTTGGAAGAGGTGAGAGACCTCACTTTGGCCTCCCGTCCTCTAGGGTCCCAATAATAAAATACACACGATTAGTCTTTCTTTTCGCGTTTCGTATTTTTTATTTTGGTCAAAAATGTATGGAAATGACCAAAAAATGCCCTAAATTAATAATTTTCTAATTTCCTGACATTTTTCATGACTTTTTAGGAATCAAAAAGGCTAAAACGCTATAAACCTATTACACTATCTGGCAGAAAAACCCGAATTTTTCCTGCCAGATAGCCCCACCCCCTGCTAACATAACTGAACCAAATACTAAAAGTCAAACCAAAGGTCTGCTATCCGAAAATTGCCTTTACTAGCTGGGTCCGGCTTTTTCTAAAAATCAACTTAGGTCACCGAATGCGAGCTCCACTACAACGCGCTCGTCTACAACAACTACGGCTGCTGGTGCGGGATCGGCGGTGCGCACGAGCCGGTGGACGGCATTGATGCGTATGTTCCCACGTTGAAAAAAAAACAGCAATTATTTAATTACATAGAGGGTACGCTTTTGGAAAAACTTAAACCCCCTCAACCTTACAGTTGCTGCAAAGTGCACGACAAGTGCTACGACGCGGCCGTCGACGCGAAGGTTTGCTACGACACCGCTTGGGAGTACGTCGATGACTACAGCTGGAAGTGCGAAAACGGGACGGCCATTTGTACCGGTAATTTCCGCAATAAAACTTACTAAAAAGAGTAGTTAATTGTGTACATATTTTAACACAAAATCTTCCAGACACCAGCTCGCCGTGCAAGGTCGCGCTGTGCGCGTGCGACAAGGCGGTTGTTGAATGCTGGAAGCACTTCCCCAAGCCCACGATCAAAGCCAAGTCAGTGAAGCTTTTTTTGCTTATAGTTTTCTTTCCTAAAATCATCGATCAAAACGGTCATACTTTAGGTGCAACGCCGTCCGCCAATACCTGAAATACCTCAACCGGCCGCACCATTTCTACCACTAAAAACTTATCTATCCACTTTAAATATCATTTTTAAATTTTCGAAACTGTCATCGTCATTTCCCTACTTTCCAGGTCTATCCCTCCTCATTTCCCTATCATCTTCTCGCGCTTTCCGATCTAGGAACCAATTACGAGTACCGCATTTTCCTACCATCATCCTTTCCGGCAATAATTTTTTTTTATTAGCAAAATGCAACCATATTTTACCTGCGAAAACCATCTAAAAACTTTAAAAATGCTTAAAATTCGAAATTTAAGGCGAAAAATCGACATCCATGGTAATTTTTGATAAAAAATGCAAATGTTCGACTACAAATCCGATTTATTGCGCTTCACAAAATACAACACAGCCGTCAAAAAAAAATGAAAATTTAATTTTTACAATGTACAAAGCTACATAAACGTCAAAATTACGCATGGCAGTTTCGGGGGTCGCCGCCCTCGTTGGCGATTCTTCGGATGCTCTCGACCAGCTCGGTGGGGATGTTGTGCTCCTTGGCCAAGGCGTCGAGCTCGCTAAAAAACAGATACAACGTGGTTAGTACGAAAACGTACGAGAAATCCTTGTAACCCGCCAAATACGCATTGAGCTTCGTCGCCAGGTAGGAGTCGACCAGCTCCTCGTCCGTCAGGCCGAGCTAAAAATAACAATATAAGAAACAAAGGTAAAATTACCTCGTGAATCACGCCGCCTCGACCACGCAGCCAGTACTTTTGATGGTAGTTCTCGGCCTGGTAGAACTTGTCGAACTTCTGGATATACGTGTCGAGGGGCTTTCGCTTCAGCTCCTGAAAAGCATTGAAAATTTGGGGAAATTCCGGTGTGCGGGGCTCGCCGAAAAAACGCTTTTTAGTAGCATGGGGCTGCGGAATACGTATTTCTTGCCTGAAACTCGCGATTTGAGCGCAAAAAAAAACAGCGTTTTGAGCGAGTACCGTAAAAACGATCAGCCCACAAACCAAAATTTCAAAATTTTACCTCAACCTCCTTGCTCGTTTCCTCGGCGATGGCCTTCTGATCATCGTTGACGTAGAGGATGGCGCTCTTGTACTGCTTCGGCTCCCTAAAACGCGTTTTTTTTCGTTAAATGCCCCCATTCAACATACTTCTTGGTGGGGTCGTGCTTGGTCCAGAAGTGAGCGAGAATCTCGCGGTAGCTGACGACGGCCGGGTCGAATTGGACTTCAGTAATTTCTAAAATAAAATGATTTTAACGTTACGATAACGCTAGCGATACCTGTGTGGTCACCAATGTTTCTGTAGGTCGGATTCACGGTTGTCCCGCCGGCATAGCCAACGCGCGTCTTGCGGACTCCCTAAAAATTGTGTTCCAAAAAAAGACGCCTATTCACCTTGATTTTGGCGAACGACGATTCGACTCCCCAGAAGCACTGCATGCCGACGTAGGCCTTCTCGAGCGTCATTTTATCTGCAAAGACAGAATTAGTGAGGAGCCAAATTAAATAATTTTTGGGTCATGATAAGCAAAAAAAAAACCAGAGGAAAATGGAGCATGGTATCCAAGGCAACGGCCATCTAGCGCATAAAATATTAGTATCAAAAACGGCTCGCCTGATCCGGTGCTGAATGAGCGCCGAGCTGGGCCGATAAATAGCCGGTAGAGCGCTTGAAATGGTTGCATCAGCCGCGGCCTCTTTCAGCGCGTAACGATTCGCAGAGAAACTACAAGCCCGAGATAAGTTCTTTGTGTCTATTGCGGGATGGGAGTCCGCGAGAGCAGAAGAACAAGATCTTTGAGTCCAAAGTTTGGGCTTGGGAAGCTCAGGAAGCTTGACAGCGGGTTGTTTCGCATTCTAGGGATGAACGTTAAAGACCGTCAGAACGATGAAATATCGTTTAGAGCAAGGAAGTTGCGCACCGGGCGGGGGGTAGAACCCGCGAAGGTTCGCTCCACAGTCCGACGCGCAGCCACTATACCACAAGGCCAAGTGCGGAAGGGAGTCAGAGGCGCCCCAAACCCCAGAGGGTCTTTGCCCAATACGGGACACCACTAATGACGACCCTCTCTGCGCGTTCTTGGGGGCAGAACCCTCGGGGTGACAGTGCGCGTTCCATCGTTCTGGTAGTCTTTAACTTAATATGACGTATTTTCAAAATGTCTTTAGTAAAATAAATCTATGTTTCAACTAGAAAATCCATCTAAAAACCTACAAAAATTGAGAAAAAGTCGAAATTTCGATCAAAACACGGCCATTTTTGGTCGAAAAAGCGGTATTTTTTGTAACGTTCAATGAAAATTTGTAAGTTGATACGTTTAGAAATATTAAAACAATTGAGCTATTTTTATTTAAAAAATTGGCCCCTAACAAAATTTTTGGTACAAGGATGGTTGGGGGGGCCACTTTTTTTTGTCGGTTTCAGAGTAGTTTTTTGTGCTGGGTTCGAATTTCACAAAATCAGGTTCGAATAACGCCGTTTTCCACCGTAAAATGGCTTAACCTGTTTAACAAGGGTTTATCGCAACAACAAGGATATAACAAGATAATAGACTAGTAACAAGTGTGGTCGCGCTAGCTTATCATTCGCAAGGGTAGAGATCGTGGACTTGTTACCAGAAATCGTAGAAAGGGTCGGTGGAAAATTCCTGGCGCCATAGAAATAGTATAGTATAGGCTTAGTCTAGGCCTAGCTTAAGCTTGGCCCAGCCCTAGCTCAGGCCTGTTCTAGACTTAGCTTAGGATTGGGCCTAAGCCTAGGCTTGGCTTAGGTTATGCTTAGGCTGGGCTTGGCTTGGTTAGCTTAAACTTGGAGAAAAGCTTAGGTCGAAAAAAACCCCAAAAAAAAGATGCCCCCCAACATTAATAGCTCCGGTTGTATTTTAGGAAAGTGGATATCGCGGCTGATACCGCCGTTTTACGGTGGAAAACGGCGTTATTCGAACCTAATTTTGTGAAATTCGAACTCAGCACAAAAAACTGCTCTGAAACCGACAAAAAAAAGTGGCCCCCCCCAACCATCCTAGTACCAAATTTTTTTGGCCTCCCCCCGATAATGCCAAAGAACCGATTTGGGTTTTGGAAGCTCAAGGGGCTTGAATAAAAGGAAAGTGGCCGTTCCGAGTAAAGCCATGAGAAAATGACCTTCAAATTTAGCCACCAAAAACTGCGATACTTTACAGCTGGTAGAGCGATTGAAATTTCAAGTATCTGAAGGCGGCTAGCCCTTGTCTTTTCTGACCAGGAATCTCCAAAATTCAAGCTTTATTCTAGACAAAAACTAAAAAAAACCGGAAATGATCACAACAGCGATAACAATATCAAACGTAACAATGAAATGTGGAAAGTTCAAATCTAAAAAACAAACTCAACAATCAACTGGGGGCAAAGGTGGCGAGCATATCGTCCTCTAGTGGATGCGTATGGCCCGGAATGATGAGGCAGTGAAGCGGCGGGCCCATATCTATTTCGGTCATCTCCTTCATCGAACAGGCGACAATCTGGAAAAAGCTTTTTCTTTTTTACACGAGTCACAAACCTTCTGATCCTCCCATCCGACTCTGGCCAGACCGACAACTTTCGTTTCTTCCGTATAGATCGGCTTCTCGCCGGCGGCTTTCCGTCGTTCGGCTATCTGAAAAAAAATTGGCTCTTTGGCATTATCGGGGGAGGCGGCTGCGAACTTTTTCGTATAAGTCTTCAATGTATAGTAGCTTAATAGGGAATGTTTCAATAGTGTTTTTCGCAATATAGAACTACATTTTAACTAGAAAAAGTGGTTAAAACTTTCAAAATTTTTCAAAAAGTCGATATTTTTGTCAAATAACGGACATTTTTGGTCGAAAATCGTCTTTTTGCATTTATAATAAAAACATGCAAGGTTTTCGCTTTTCAACTTCCACTATCCTACTATCCTACTATATATAAAAAAATAGTGTTTGTGTGTGTGTGTGTGTGTGTGTGTGCATTTGCATGCAACTTCCGTCAGGGTGTCCAGAGGATATCTCGAGAGGAGATGGGTTTGAGGAGGTGTTTGATACGTCATCAGATGCGTAATGGACTGGAGATGACTGCACACATATCAGAATTTGTAAAATATGGTGTTTTCGACATTAAAATTAAGTTTTTCTTAAAAATTCCGACACCCACTTTGTTAGGGTAAAATTAGCATACGCCGGAAGTCGCTGTGGCCTATATGAAGGCTCAAAGGAAGCGTTTTTCATTTTTTGTCATCGGAATTGGGGCACGATTATGCAAAACGAAGAACATCATAGGGTTAGACGGGGCCAGGTTGAAAAGTCGCGAAGCGGCTTTTCAACCCTGGTTCATATTTGAAAAATTATCTCAAGAAAAGTTGCTACCCCCGCTAATGCGAAAGAACCTTAAAAATGAATAATTTAGTAGCAGCAAGGGGCTTACCGTAATCAATTGTCGACAAGCTTCCGCACAACTCTGGTACCGCGCCGGCTCGTAGATTTTTCGGCCTCGGAAATAACAAACATTTCAGATTCGCAATCCACCACTACCGCATCATATTTTCCACTGACTGTTCCTTGGTCTTAATATCCAGGAGGCAGAGCGTGTGGTAGCCTTTCGAGACGTTATTCGCGATCCTAAATTGGATAAAAACTAGAAAATTTTTTTTTTGAGAATTACTTGTCATAATAACTGTCGGGTTCCCAGCCGTCCAGCCACATCACAATCGACACCGTCTCCCCGAAATTGTAGAGCTAAAGCGGAAATGCCTCAAAGCCTAAAAAAATAGAAACCTGCAATCCGCAACACCCAACGGCGTTCATGATCGAAGCGTTGTGGATGACTTGGACGGGGATGTTTCTTTGCTAAAACGAAAAAATAGAATAAGAAGCAACATTTTTTACTTTTGCTCGCAGCACCAAATCCGCGTGTGTCGTCGCCCCGAATGGGTCACCAACGACAAGCATCGCCACGTCGTCCACGTCGGCGCCGTTGAGGATTTCGTCTGAAACCTTGACCATATACCGGGTGTCTCGAAAAATCGATCCCGCTCTAGCGGTCTGGAGGAAGATCGGATCCGGGTGATTTTAACACCATTCTAAAGCGCTCGAAACGGCGAGAAACCGAGCGCTTCGCGTTTTGCAATCTTTTAGCGCTAAGCGTGAAATCGGCGTCGTCATTAGCTCGAAACTACTGAAAACAACTGAATCGAAAGTCTTGAGATCGGCAATTTAAATGCGGATTTTGAAAAAAACTGCATTTTTTATGGATTTCAGTCCTGAAATTCGTGAACTAAAATGCCTAAATTCAAAAACGAAAATTGTTTGTTTTCTCGCCTTGCCGAGAGCTTTTGATAGGTATCTAATTCGTCAAAATCGGACGCTTCTGCGGCCCGTTAGAGCCGGTTCAAACCTTTGGGACACCCGGCAGATAAGCGATCAAAACGCACCAGAATTCTGCTCAACCATCGTCCGATCGGCTTCTATCACCTCGCGGCCATAAAACTCCTCCAGCTGCTTCTTCTCGAGCCCGTAGCACAGAATCGAGGTGTACGCTTCGAGGTGGACACGCTTGCATTTTCGGACGGCGTTCAGCCCTTGAATTTCATCAAGCGATTTTATTAAAGCCATACCTTTTACTGTAATATCCTCAACATTTCCGAGGCCGAGGCCGATCAGGTAAAAAACCATCTATACAAACAGCCCGAGCCAAATTTCGGACACGATTCCCGGTCTAGAAAATGCATAAATTATGTCTTGTTGGCTGCGAATAAGATATATTGTTGGCAAGAATTTTCCTGTAATTTTAGCGCAATTCCTCTCGAATTAAACTTTATTCGTGGCATAAATCGATCTCTAGTAAAAACAATTACACAGACGGCAATAGTTTGCAAAGACAAAGAATGTACATAATCACAAGTAGTCTATAATGGGCGCAACTGCAAGGGCACTTCAAAAAAATTCGGGGGAAAAATACGATTAAGAGTTCGTTGGTGAAATCGCCGTTTATTTCGCCCGCGCCGCGTACTCGCCGTCAATGTGCTTGGCGATCGTGTTGAGCTGGATGTTCGACGTTCCCTCGTAGATGGTTCCGATCTTGGCGTCTCTGAAAAATAAGGTTCTACGATTTTCAAAAGTTTTTTACCTGTAGAATTTCTCCGCCGGGAACTCCTTGGTGAACCCGACGCCGCCCAGCCATTCCACGCATTTCGAGGTGGTCGTGGTGGCGATTTGCGAGGCGAACAGCTTGGCCATGGCCGCCTAAACGGAATTTTTTTTGGTATAAGTTTAGAATCCCTAGCAACTTAATAAAAAGTGTTTGCAATGTCTTAGTGAAAAGTCACTATATTTAAACTAGAAAAACGATGTAAAAAATTTTCAAAAAACTCGACATTTTGGTCAAAATCGGCGGTACTTATCAAGTTGGGGGGGGCCACTTTGGGTACTTATTAGGGGACACTTTTTTATCGCTTTTTCGAGTCTATCTGGGGTAGTTTTTTACGCTGAGTGCATAGAGAGTAGCCACAGCATGCTAAACCGTCGGGTTTATCCAGAAAAACCGCGTAAAACTTTATTAATAAAAAGTGTACTTATGCAAAATTTGAGGCTTGCCGCATTGTCAGGCAAGGTGGGCCGTCGATTCGGATGGGCTGCCGCTCCACTCTTCCGAAATCGGGGCGCCTGGCCGCTTCGCGCGCCTCGGGCGCCCCGATTTCGAAACCCTGTACGAGCTCGCACCCATCCGAAGCGACTAGGCCCCGGGTGGCACGAAGCCTTATTTTTAGGTTAATACCGGGCGTCTGCATCTCTAAATCTTAACAAACGTATAGATAAGTGTATTTTACTACTCTGATTTTGTTATATTCAAAACCAGCGCAAAAAACTAGCCTAGAAAGACTCAAAAAATCGAAAACCAAAGTGGCCCCCCCCCAACTTGATAAGTACCAAATCGGCTTTTTTGGCGAAAAATATACTTTTGATATTTTCTAATACAACTTTGTAAAGTTTTCACGTTTAAAAACAGTAAAAAACCATTTAAAAACACTTCCACCATTTATATTTGACCGAATAGATCCTAAGAAAAAGTTACACCCCCGATAATCCGAAAAAACGAAATCCCAGTACCTGCTTGACAAAGTTGATTCCGTTCTCCTTCATACGGGCCGCATTGTAGACGAGCAGGCGCGCCGCCTCGATCTCGGTGCCGACTTGCGCGATTTGGTGTTGCATTCCCTAAATCACAGTCAAGAAAAACTAGCAAAAAATACCTGGAAATCAATCAAGCGGCTGTTGAACTGTTTCCGCTCTTGCAGGTAGGGGATCGTCACATCGTAGCAGCCCTAAAATGCTTTATAGAAAAAATAGAAATTGCCGACCTGGGCGAGCCCGAGCATTTGAGCGCCAATTCCGATACGGCCAGCGTTCAAGCACTCGATGGCGTATTTATAACCTGAAAACAGCGATAAAAAGGGATGAGCAATTGCAACCTTTTCCGTACTCTCCCAGAATGGCGCTCTTGTGCACGCGGACGCCGTCAAAGTTGACTGGGCACGTCGAGGAGGCCCGGATACCCAGTTTGTCCTCCTGAAAACGTCAAATTTATTTTGATTTGAGAAAATGGGTTCTGGACTGTTAGCGCGGGGGGAGACTTTTATGTTTTCTACCTATTGATGCAACAACATTTTGATAGTATTTTTACTAGTTTTTTATTGCTAGAAAGTCAGAAAAATATTCTTAAAAATGCCGAAAATTCGAAAAAGGTAGATCTTTTCTGGGCAATTTTTCAAACATTTTTGGCCAAGAAGTTCAAATTTTCGCAAATTATTATAATCTCTATAAGTTTAATATCCAAAAAAATAATCACTATGTAAAATAACGTCAAAATTTAGTGCGTACGGAATTACTGGGAAAAATGTTATCCCCCCTCCGCTAGCAGCTTAGTACCGAAAAAAATGTACCTTTCTTTCCAACGCTCACGCCAGGCGCGTCACGATCAACGAGGAAGCAGGTGATACCCTAAAAGAAAGCGCGTAAAAAGATACCAAGACCATTTCCTCACCTTATATCCTTTGGAGGGGTCGGCGTTGGCCAGAACGAGGAAAAACTGGGCGTGGCCCGCGTTCGTGATCCACAACTTGTTGCCGGTGATCACAAAGTCGTCGCCGTCCCTAAAAAATGTCTTTAATGGAGTTTTCAAGCGTTACTTTTTGGCCACCGTCTTCAACGCGAACGCATCAGAACCGCTGCCGGCTTCGGAGAGGCAGAAGGAGCCGATCTGGAAAAAAATAGATAACCGATAGATCTTGAAAACTCACCCATTCGCTGACGAGCTTCGGTAAATACTTCTTTTTCTGCTCCTCCGTGCCGAGCTGCATGATCAGCGGGCCGACCAGCGTGTTTTGGACATCGACAAAGACGGAAACGGACGGGTCGATCTAAATCTGTTCTCATAAGATTGTTCAAAAGTCTAAAAAGTCCATCAAAAGCGATAAAACGCACCCTGGCCAACTCCTCGACAACAATCACCGTGTCGAAGAACGACGACTCGGGTCCGCCGTATTTCTCCGGCACCTCGATGCCCATGAACCCGTTTTCGAATGAACCTAGGATAATTTTCAATCGAATTTAGGCGGCCGCCAACCTGTAATGATGCTTTTGTGCAGCTCGGCCTTTGCGTCCATCTCGCGCACCAGCGGCTTGATGACGTTGTTCGAGAATCGGCGCACTAAATTCATGGTTTTTCTTTGTTCTACTCAAAAACCAACCGTTCTCCTGGAACATCAGCTCGTGCTCGTTAAACTGCGTGACCGGGGGCGGGTGCTGGCCTGAAAAATGGTTTTTATAGCGGAAAATGTGAAAACCTTCATGATCAATCCTTGGCTGTGAAGTGACGGTCCTGGCCGCAAGTTTTGAGGGCGCGCGTGCGATGAATCGGGTGAGCATCTGAAAGAAATGCGAGTTTGAGACGACAAATAGAAATTTTATTACAGAGAAACAAAAAGAAGCCGAAAAAAAACATAAATTTTATGAATTTGTAGTCCGTAGCAATACACTTTACAGATAATCGTTGTTTGAAAAGTATCGTAGCATTTATCGGAATTTTCATTTTCTCAAGAAAAAAGCTCGACGTCAAAAATAGTGGAAACTGAGCAAGTTTTTTTTACACCTTGAACGTTTCTAATTTAGTACTTTTTAGTTATAGCAAGTTCTTGAGCACATCGACAACAAAATGAACGCCGCCCAGACATCGTGAGGGTCAAAGGGCGGCGGGCGAGAGATCCATGGTGAAGAGGAGCTGAGAGCGATAAGCCATCAAAACAACAGGGGCGCAGAGGTTGCCCTCGATTCTCCTCGAGGGGCGGTCGCTGGCGACGGGGTGTGATCAGTGAACTGTCGCCGCTCGATGTGCGCCCGTTGGTGCTTTGACGGTCTGGTAGAGTGCCAGAGGTCAGCAGTTTGAAAAGAGATGCTAGAATCTAGCCAAAGCAGCCTTTTCGATACGTTAAAAATAAGCAGGCGCTGAAAATCAACTTTTTTAGTGCTGAAGGTGGGGTTAGCAAGAAAAAACTTTTCGAAAAATCATCGTTTTTTTTCCCAAGATGTCTCGAAAAATGGCTGCGTAAGAGCTTCCAAGGTGAAGTCAAATCTACTGTAATTCTTTCTAGTTGTAATGCACGATTTTTGGGGATATTCTATATAAAGTAGCGACAAAAATTATCTCCTTCGGATTAGCTCTTCACTTCCTAGAAAAAAGGATCCTAAGCCTAGATCGAACTCAAAGCAAGATCAAAATCTTCCGGTGAAGGCCAAGTTTTCTACTTTTTTTAGGTTCCCCCGGTGGGCTACGGGCGGCTCCTCGTCCCGTCGTGAAGTAGAGCAGTTGACGTGTTTTCGGGTGGTCAACAATAAAGGGGTCGTAAGGCCAGCACGAGATCCGATCCGGGCTTCTGAATTCGGGGAAAAGCCTGAATTTTACGTCTAAATTAGGCAGTAGCCTTGTACCTCACTAAATTATCGCCTAGCCCTGCTCCTCAATGGTTTTCGCGATCTTATTAATGCGCAAATGGCTGCAGAATTTGCTAGCGTAAACGGATAGCTTGGCTTCAAAAGCTTGGTTATGGGGCCAAAAACATGGTTATGATTGTTTTTATAGCTTTAAAATTTAATCCTTCAAGTTATGGGCAAAGTTTGATGTCATTTTCAGCGTTTCCTGCTGAAAACGGTGGTCTAGATTCGAGTAAAAATTTTAATGTAGCAAAATTATCTTGTTTGAAACTATTTTAGCGTATTTTATTAGTGGTTTTACATCTTTTCCAGTTTTTCCTTTAATTTTTAATAACTTTGATAAAATGTAGGTAAAAATACGGGGTTGTTTTGGTGTTCTAAACGTAGTTTTCAATGTTTTCCAGATTTTCCTGTGGTTTTTTTACAAATTTTCTGATGAGACCGAAAGTAAAAACGGCATTTTATCGGCAAATTAACGAAATTATTGTCATTTCAGCCTTTATGGGCGGCAACATCAGCTGCACCCAGAAGCTCGCCGAGAACAAGTACCTGGGCGAGCTGTGCGGCAAGGCGCCGATCGGGCAGAATGACGAGTTTTGGAAGGGGCTGTTCAACTTCTACCTGACGCTCGACCTCGATGAGGCGGCGACCGGGAAGGCCGTCGAGACGCTCATCGAAGGCTACAACGAGCAATTGATGGAAAACACGCGCGAATCCGAGAATTTGGACCTGTTGCTGCACGTGTTCTTCGAGAAATCGACGGTGCTGATCAATTCGAACGCGCAGGAGGAGTGGGTCGTTTGAAACTCATTAATTTTGGATAGTTCTCACTTTAAATTTGATATTTTGGAGCGTTTAGGCTCATTTCTAAACGTGGTTTTCGCAGCATAAAACGTGGTTTTGTGGATGGCTAATAGAAATTCTAGCCGTTTCTGGCTTCCTGTAACATTTAAACGTGCTTTCAGAAAACTCCTCAATTTCCACGTCCAAAACGGGCTGATCATCGTCAAAAATGTCATCAAATTCCTGTGCTCGCGCTTCACTGAGGAGGGCTTGCACGAATTTTTGCAAAAAGGCGAGGAGGAGAAGCGGATTGGTGGGTTTTTTTGAATTTGGGCCTTTTATGTAGCTTGTACTTTCGAATTTAACGTAGTATTCGAATTTAATTATAACGATCAGAACTATTGCAACATGAAAAGAAAAGAAGCTAAATAGTGGATGAGAAAATTTAAACAAAACAGCGCTGCTAGAGTTTTTAGCTTAAAAAAGTAAGAGTCAGAATTTTTAGTGTTTTATGAAATAGAGTATAAAAAGTAAAACCTTGAGCTTTTCGGCGTTTTTAAAAAGCCTTTAACTTATAAAACAAAGTTAATTGCCAGTTTTCTATTGTTTAAACAAAGATTTAACCTATAAAACGCATGGTCAAAAATTTGAACCAGATAGAAAAAAGAAATCGAAGTCTTACTTCCAGATCGCCTCCACCAACTCGTCCTCCAGCTCACCGACATCATCATCAAACTACCGGTCAAGTATGTCCATAGTATAGTAACGTACTCGATACCTATTTTAGTGGAACGACAATGCCCGTCCATATCGAGGCCCTAAAGTGCTGTCTAGCCCTGCTGAGTTCGCAGTTGTATCGCGAGGACGTCGTCCAGGATTCCAGCATTTTTGGGCTTTTCCTGGTGGAGGAGTGGTAAGTCTTAGAGATTGAAAAATGGCAGGCTAGCAGGGATTCTTTAAAAAATGCTAGCTTTCATCAGGTCGTGAATTTTCAGCAAAGATCGCGCCACGATTCTGACAAAAGTTTTGTTGGACAACTACCTCAGCCACAACGCCGAGTATAGGGCACCGCATCAGGAGAAGGTTCCGGAGAGTATCGTGCTCGGATTGGCAGGTTGGTGCAGATTTTTTAGAAGCTAAAAGCGCGAAAATCAACCCCTTACGTCGACTAGGTCTAGACAGTGGCGACACGCACCTAATGACGCTTACTGCGGAATCGTTATTTGATACAACGCCACGTTCTTAGGTGCTAGCAAAGTCAGATTCACGCGTGTTTTGGAGTTTCGCGTAACTGTCTAGACCTAGTGGAGAAGGATGTTGGTTTTGGAGCTTCCAAGTCGATTTAAAAGTAAAATTCTCAACGCGACGGCAAAGCCATAGCTCCAAACTATAAAATCAAAGCAAAATAGCCAAGAAATAGCCCGTTTCTAGGATCTCTCTGGAATATGGTGACGGTGGCGACTGGATTAGATGATGCAGCCGAGGTAGGAGCTTTTTTAGTTTTTTTAGTTATTGATCAATTTCAGTAAAATTAAACGCAAGGAAATCACAATAAAAACTTTTTATTAAAAAGCAATGAAACTAAAAATTCAGGAAACGAAGCCCCTGGTCGTCTCACTCGGCAGCCTGTCCCTGTTATTAGCCCTCGTTTTGACGTGCCACTACCTCGAGGGGCAGAAATGCTTTCAAGGAGACGATGGCCATTTTCCAGAATTCACAAGGTAGCTTTTTATCGCATCGTTTTATGCTTTTTGAATTTTATTACGCTAATTTAAAACTTGTCGAAAGTATCGGCTATTAAAAACCATAAAGTTAACCCAAATTTTTTTCAGAAATCTCCGTGCTGGCCGCCGAGCTTCGAACTTTCAAACTGGACTACAATGCGTTGTACGAACGCCTTTGCGACTCGATAGAGCAGGTGAGCCGTTTTAACGGCCCAGGAAGCCAAAAAACGAAAAATATCGACTTCTGAAGCTTTTAGCAAATAACTGGCAGGCTTCTTCGTCGCTCCTTATCAGTGTAGGCGGAAAAACGGACTACTACTTTTCGAGGACTGTAATCTAAATGAGTAATTCCCAGAACAAGTGTATAAAACAGTCGATTTCTGCCTTCACAATCCCTTTAAACCTTTCACGAATTCAGGAACCCCCAATGCTGCTCCTTTACATTCTCCTCCACCACAACGTCGGCTTCCGGAATTACGTACTGTCGCGGATCAACCTCGAGAAGCTCGTGCTCCCTATACTCCGAATTCTACACGATGGATCACGAGCACAGACGACTTCCAACACCCATCACATGTATTTGGCACTGATCGCCGTGTTGATACTGTCGGAGGACGACTTTTTCTGCAAAATCATCCACGAGACGGTAGGCAGCCGAGCAGAGTTCTTTTGGGAATGGAAGGGGGCGGCTAGCAGAGATCATCTGGGAATGGAAGGGGCAGGCTAGCAGAGATCATTTGGGAATGGAAGGGGCAGGCTAGCAGAGATCATTTGGGAATGGAAGGGGCAGGCTAGCAGAGATCATTTGGGGATGGAAGGGGCAGGCTAGCATAGATCATTTGGGAATGGAAGGGGCAGGCTAGCAGAGATCATTTGGGAATGGAAGGGGCAGGCTAACAGAGATCATTTGGGAAATCTCGAGCTCGGACTGGTCGAAATTTGCAGGATTTCTTCGCCCAGCCTACCGACTTTTCGGTATAAAATATTTAGTTTTGCTGGGCTTTACCTTTTCGATTGGAGGGTTTTTTGGGATAAAATTAGAAATCTGAAAAACCACATAAGATCGAGGTGTTTCAGATGGTTCGAGGCGACTGGATCGACCCGAATCGGCCGATTGGGGAAATCTCGCTCGGCGGCCTGACGATTATTGTTTTCATTCAAACTTTGAAGAAGAACGTGTTGAGGACAAAGGTAAGGAGAGAAAGAGAGCGAGAGAGAGAGAGAGCGAGAGGCGAGAGAGAGCGACAGAAAAAAAATCCGTCTCTTTTAGGACCGCTATCTCCACACGAATTGCCTAGCCGCGCTGGCCAACATGGCGTCCTGCTTCAAAAACCTGAGCCCGATCGTGTGCCAGAAAGTTGTTGGGCTAATTGAGGTCGGTTTAAAGAGAATTCTCAGATTATGAGTTGATTTTAGACCCTAAATAAGCGCTACGTCAAGCTGGTCGAAACCGTGAAGCAAAATTCGATAAACGACAGCCCAGAGAGCGAGAAGAGCGAGGAAAACTTGGTAGGTGAGAGAGACAGAGAGAAAGAGAGAGAGAACGAAAAAAAAATAGTCTAAAACTATTCTTATTTTAGCAAGACGACGTCACAGTCCTCGAAGAGGGCATCCGCACCCTGCTTGAAATCTTAAACAGCGCCATTAGCGTGCGGTTACGACACAATGCCAACCTCATCTACACCCTGCTGTATCATAAAGAACTTTTTGACAGCTTCCGGCAACATCCAATGTTCCAGGTTTGTCTAAACGCTTTTTCCTAAAGCGCCTCTGCTAGCTCGCCACCTTTACAGCATTAAAAAAAACTTTGGAATGTTATTTTTTAGGATCTTCTGAAGAACATCTCGCTGGTCATCGATCACTTTTCTACGAAAATTGATGGCGTTAAAGGTAAGTTAGCTAAGTTCCTCTAGACTACGCTCTACGCCATTAGACGCTACGTTTGGCTACGGCAGATTACACTCAGTTTTACCACGCAACGTTTTAGGCGGATCCCTGATCACGGTTATCGAGGAGGAGGCTCTTATCTGGCGCATGGACAAGCTGCAAAAGTTCCCGGAGCTGAAGTTTAGGTAGGTAGAGAAAAGGCAATTCCGCAAGATTCTCTGCTAGCCTGCTCCTTCCATTCCCAAATGATCTCTGCTAGTCTGCCCCTTCCATTCCCAAATGATCTCTGCTAGCCTGCCCATTCCATTCCCAAATGATCTCTGCTAGCCTGCCCCTTCCATTCCCAAATGATCTCTGCTAGCCTGCCCCTTCCATTCCCAAATGATCTCTGCTAGCCTGCCCTACCAATCCCAAAGGATCTCTGCTAGCCTGCCCCTTCCATTCCCAAATGATCTCTGCTAGCCTGCCCCTTCCATTCTCAAATGATCTCTGCTAGCCTGCCCCTTCCATTCCCAA